AAGGTGACCACTATATCAAATGCAAGGATTATTATTATTATTATAATAAATTGCTTCGTTCTGTAGCTCATCTGCTGAGACAGACCAGCCTTAGCCAGATGATTCATTGATTCACATTTTTACAATACTAAATTAAGCAGTGTGAATCAATGCAAACTCCCCTAAAAATCACACTCCTTAAAGTTCATGGACAATTAAGTGGACAACCAAGAATATCGAAGGAGCAATGGTATTAATATGATTAAAAATTGAACACCATTTAATTCGGCATTCAAAGAGCTCTTCTCAGCACAGCTCACGCAACGGGAAATTTAAATTAGGAGGTATATATCAGGATTCCCAATCCCAATTATTTGGCTGCTGGAAACAATATTACTTTATATCCAACAGCACAAACATTGGGTAAGAGGTAGTTCTGAACAGACTGTTGTGACTTTTCCTCGGACAATCCTCCCAATCACCCGTGAGGAAATATCTGGTCACTCATTTCCCAGCTGTTGTGGGATATTTCTGTGTGCAATTGCCTCCAAAATACGCAATCACTAAAATAAAACACACTTCACAGTAAAATACTGGGATGTCTCGACAATGTGATAAGGCACTATATCAAAAGTTAGGATTATTATATCTGGTTTCAATTCAAAAGGGCAATTTTTTTTGCTAAGTTTTTACAATGAGAAATCTTGTTATAAAGATGTATTGGGGGAAAAATGTCATTGTTTTTGTAGCAGCAACAAGTCTGAGATTGCACGATCAATTCTCGTGGGATTGATATCGCACACTAGCCTGATGGATGTGATCCTCCAGACAAGTAATGGTCAGCAAAAGCTAGGCTTCAGGGTCAGAAAAGTAAGTGTCTTCAAAAAGAGAGCTGTAGAGTACTTAATGATTCAGGTCCATAAATTAAACATTTGCAGATAATCTTGACACAGTTGTAAATTCAAGTTTTTTTTATAAACCACTCTAATCCACAAGGAAAAATACATATGAATGAATTGCTTTTGAATAAATAATAAGAAGAATAATCCTTGCTTTGATATACCACCTTATCACATCTTCGAGAGGTCTCAAAGCGCTTCACAGAATATACTGTAAAGTGAATTGACTATATTTTGTGAGCAAAACACGGGAGCCAATTGCGCACAGCAGTGTCCCACAAACAGTCATGGATTGAGTGACCAAATTTTTTTTTGAGGGATTATTATCCCCGGAAAAGCAATCCACCAACTGACTAATAACCGGGTTCCTACTCATTGCAAGTTAAACAGAGACATGCCTAATGTATCGACCTGCATGGGAATCGAACCCAGGTCTTCTCATTTGCAAAGCGAGTGCTCAATGGTTAGTCTGTTTGTAATCATGCCCGAATATCTCAAGATTGGTTAAGCATCAGTGTCCTGTTATTATTAATTTAGTTAGTAGGCAGTAGTAGTAAGTCAATTATTTCAAAAGCTATTGGATATCAGCATTTATCTCAGTGGTATGGGAGATGTCAGTGATGGCTCAGTCAATCTTCTTAACTCTAGTTTTAGTACCAGCCACTCCGGTTCCAATCATCATAATTCTGTCCAGTTGTTAAGTATAATTACTTTAGATCAGAGGCTCGAAATGTCTTATGGCCTGAGCCTTAAGATCACTGTCTTAAACTTTAAACTTTAAGATGGTGTTGAATTTTGAAAATTGGCTGCTGTGTTTCACCCACAAAATATATAGTCAATTCACTTGACAGTATATTCTATAAAGCGCTTTGAGATGTCTCGAAGATGTGATAAGGCCTTATATCAAATGCAAGGATTATTATATATTATTTATAAAAATTATTAGTCACGGTCTAAATTTGGAAGTTGTTTTTCATAGTTCTTTTTACGAAATGTGGGAAACTGCTTCCTAATTCAAACAAAATATAAAAATTTTCTAAAATTCTGTGTGATCTTAACTTTGGAGACAGTGGTTTTAAAGCTTAGTTGATCAGAAATTTCAGGTCTTGATTACAGCAAGTATTGAACAAGTTAATTCAGAAATAAGTCAGACAGGAGTGAAGTGTGAACCTTCTATCATAACATTAAAATCCTTGCATTTGATATTGTGCTTTATCACGTTCAGCGCTTCAGATATTTACTGTAAATTATAGTGACTGTGTATTTTGTAGGCGAACACAGCAGCCAGCAGTATCCCACAAACAGCCATGAAGGGATGACCAAGTTTATCTGGAGGATTGTTGGCCAGGACACCAGGAGGAATTCACTTCTCTTTTTGAATAGTTTCATGGGATCTTTAATACCCACCTGAACAGGCAGACAGGACCTTGGTTTAACATCTAACCTTTACCGATACAGGTAAAGCACAGCTAAGTAAGAATGTGTAAGGGTTTCTGTCTGCAAAATTGGTAGAATAGTTGAAGAGAAGAATGTGGACAATCAACTGTAGTTAGCTGCCAAGACCCAAATCAGCAATGGCAAAGGGAAATAAAACAAGACTGATTTATTGGCTACCTAGATCAGAGAAGTTGTGTGCTCACATCAAAGGCATCCTAATCATAGGCTTAATTCTGAAAGTATAAGATAACCATGTCACTTTATAGACTGCAATGGCTTACCTTGCTAGCCATGTGCAATAATACTATGATTTAAGCTGATCCACCAACATTAATGTAACTAACGACACTATTGCGAAAGTGACTGCTGAAGGTTATGTTTGTGTGTTTAAAGACAGTCATACTGTATCTGTTAGTAAGATATTCAATTGTATCCTCTCCAGTCTTTGATACGTCTCCGAGATGTAAGATCACAGTTAAGGGTTAAATGATATGCTCACTCACACACTTTATCCTGCTGGAGATTCAGTTGAAAGGGAGACGAGGTTCCTGAATCAGTTTGACTCAGAATGACAGAAAGAACCATCATGTTGAACTGGAAAACGGAGGATAATATTCCCTGACATGAGATGAACATTGTGGAATCAGACTGGTTTCTGTGGCACAGATATTTCTCCAGCAATTTTCTCCCCCATCTCTTTCTCCTAAATCATTCAATGGCACTCCTGCCTTGCAATCTGCTTCTTTCCTACCTGGGGGGCAAATCTTCCACCATAGTTCTGAAGCTCCAGACAAAGTGACTCTACCACTAAAATCACAGCCACATATGAATGAACAATTCAGATATTGCCAAGGTTATATGTAGATAATAGTCAAGATGTTCAGTAAAAGCAACACCGAATGCACTGTCGCAGCAGTATGGTTCATCAGAAAGTTTCGAAGAGTAAGCAGAACCTTTGGAAGATTTGTCAAGCAAATACTTTTAGCACAACTGCAGAAACACACAAAGTACGCAGGATTTAAGGAACATACTTATAAACATACAACATTCATGTCAAAACAAAAACGGTTGATTGGAATTACTCTGTAAGTCTTATCAAACCGCCAGCTATCAGTAAAATCCAAATCGGACCACCGAGACCATCACCTAAGACCGACTCGATTCCGATATTCCATTGCCAGGAGCCAGCTCAGCCCCCAGAGAGATCCTGCTGACCTCCCCCTACCCACCCCCCACACACCCCCTTTCCCCCGCAGCAAGGGAGGATAGCTGTTGGGATGAAAGGGTGCCCGTTCCTTAGACGTTAGCCGCATTTATTTAATGTAACATAAAATCCTAACCTGACATCGATGAAGCTTAAGGATCGGTACAGCTTGAGCAGTCACTGTTGATCCATTATTTAACACAAAGAGCGGTGAGTGTGTGGATGAGGGAGAGGGGGGGGGGGATGGTGGAGAGGGGGGGGGGGGGTCCCACCACAGAGTTGGTCTTCTCTGAATTCTGAGAGGTTAAGTGACTCTCCTGACAGGTGCACAATGTACAGATATTGCTCTTGGCAGAGGGGCTGAGCATGGCATTGCTGAGTCCTGTATCACAGGGGGGGGGGAGGCAGGGTAGCCAGCCTCCTGCTCTCCACCACAGCACAGGAGACCTGCCAAATGCCCACCACCTCCCCAACACACCAGCCCTGCAGGCATTGCTGTGCTGCTGGTCACTGCTACCAATGTTCACACATACCCTCAATGACAGTTCCTGCCCTCTGCTTTCTCCCCTCCCTACCCTTCAGGTCCACAATTGTCCAGGGACATGCAAATGCCCCTCTCCCCCAAATATATACACACACACATATATATATATATGCACACACATATATGTATATATATATATGCACACACACACACACATATATATATATGCACACACACATATATATATATATGCACACATATATGTGTATATATATATGCACACACACACGTGTATATATATATGCACACACACACGTGTATATATATATGCACACACCTATATGTATATATATATGCACACACACACATACACCCACATATATGTATATATATGCATATATATATATATATATGCACACACATATATATATATATATGCACACACATATATATATATATGCACACATATATATATATGTGCACACACACACATATATATATGCACACACACACACATATATATATACGCACACACATATATGTATATGTATATATATATATGCACACACACACACAGAGAGGGAGGGAGGGAGGGGATAAATAAATAAAGGACACAATAAAGAGTAGCCCTCTGCAAAGACTTCATCGCCAACGACGCTCCATAGTTTCTCGGTGGTGCATTCGGGCTTTCGCTTCGGAGAGAAACGCGGCGACGGTGGCGATGTGACCCGTTCAGAAACCGGGTGGAGGCAGACGGGGGTGTGCAGTGTGTGGGGCTGGAACCCGGGGGGGGGGGGGGGACTGGGGGGGGGGGGGGGGGACGGACTGAACCGAGCAGTGCAGTGCAGTGCAGGTCTCAGTGCGGTGCAGCGCTCGGAGCAGAGACCGACACAGTTCACGGCACATCGCAGGGACTGGAGCTCGGGGGGGGGGTGGTGGGGGTCGGGGGGGAGGTGGGGGTGGGGGGGGTCGGGTGGGGGGTACCGAAAGGACTTACAAATTTGCTCCTCTTCCCATCCACTTCCTCGGCGGACTTCTTCTTGCTCTTCTCTTTCTCGTTGCGGGGAGCATCGTATTTGCGCTGCTGGTGGTCCATATTCCGGCAGATTGCAATCAACAGAAGAACTTCTAGATATATATCTATATATATATAGATGTAGATATCTATCTATCTATCTATCTATATATATATATATGTGTCTCAATTGTATAGGATGTATTTGCACTTCAGCAATGCTGCTATTGCTGCTGCAATCCGGTGAATTCAGGGCCGCCTTCTCCCTGTGCGTTTGCAGCCAGTGATGCGGGCGGTCGGGCGGTCGGTCAACGGTCCAGACTGCCCATTGCACCGAGTCTCTCTGTGCCGCGTCAGTCAGTCTCTCCTCTCTCTCTCTCACACACACACACACACACACACACACCACAGAGAGAGAGGGACACAGCCTCACAGCGCAGCCCCGCAGCGCTCCTGCTCCCCCGGGGCAGAGGGAGGGGGGGGGGGGGGGGGAGGGGGGAGAACGCTGCCACACACTGATTGACTGCCACTGGGACCACTCACAGCCTCCCCTCCCTCGCCTGCCTGGTGCCCTCCTCCATTGGATGCTGCAGTCTCTGTCTGTCTGTCTCTGTCTGTCTGTCTGTCTGTCTTCCCCTTTCCCACTTAACTCCTCCACAAGACCACTTAAGCAGGACAGGGGGTGGGGGTAGGGGTTGGGGCAATCATTTGGGGGCAGTGAGAATTTAACCCACATGCAATGGCCCCCTGATCACACTTCATTTTTTGGGGGGTTTCAAAGCTACCCGAGGGGGGTGGGTGGTTGGGGGCGATGGGGCGGAGGGACAGTGTGTGAATGCTGTATTGTACTCTTGTGTTATATCTCAATGACTTGTGAGTTAGACGGATACACTGGTGACTGTCCTCCCCGGCCGGGGTGGGGGGGGAGGTAAAGCTCGGGGCTCTTTGGAGCTGAACTGGCTCCAAGGTGACGTGCCTGGCAATCGAATGTCGGGACCGAGCCAGCCCTCTCTGGCGGTCTCGGTAGTCCAGTTCCGACGCCAGGCGGGTCTGCAGTATTCCAGGGCACCGCAGATGACAGCACAGCACAACCTGGCTTTTATCGACAGGACCCGGAAGGGCAGACCAGTCATTGGGGGCAGGGAATCATCCCACTCAGCTCCTGTTAACCCTGCAAGCCAAAGCCCTGACCGGTAGGATGGTCCGAGTTGGCCAAGTAACAGGAAGCTTGCCAGGCAGTGCTCGCAATGGCAAGCTATGCGGTTTTAACTGGTTAGATTCCAACTCAACACACACTGTGGGGTATCTTGAGCTTTGGCCCTTACCAACCTGTACCTAATACGCTCTGAAATTAGGTAAGCAGGATGCATCTGTCCAGGGAGAGAGTGCGCATTGCAGACACAGGGAAATTTCCACTTGCAGGTGGTGTACATCTGTGAAACTCTCAGTCTGGTTTGGATGCTCATAAGCTTGGTGAAGGGTGTACATGGCTGACCCAAAAATCAATGGATAGAGCATATCTGTATTACATTTTAAAAGACTTTGTATAAAAAAGTGTAGCTGACATTACAATGCACAAGTGACTAGATACTCATTTTATTTGACTCTAATAATCGTGAATTATGTCTTCTCTTCCTCATATAATCTTCAATTGATACTTCCCAAGCTTAGCTTCAACTGATGCCTACCGCTTGATATTTCTGATCTTCTGTCCAGCTATTTCCAACGTTGCCATTCTATGTGCTCTGGTATGAACCTTCGTAAAAAGATAGTGAGTTGGCGATGAGAAATTACAAAATTGCCTCTGTCTTAGGTGTGCTGCGCTGGTTTAAAAGGTGCATCACACAGGAATTTGTTTATTCCTCCATCTATACAACGGCTGATGTTTGATATTGATTTTTGGAAGACATTGGCACAACAAAGATAAATAAAACAAAAGAAAGCCTACACTAGTACAATAGTGCAGTATTACAGATGGCTAAATCTCAATGCACATTCTGAGGTACCCGAGCCTTGTATCTTGCCTAATGGCTAATCCTCTCTGGAGTTAGGTAGGCAGAGTGCATATCAACAAATGAATAATATAATTTAACATTGTATCATTTATTCACCACAGTTTCAAGTTACCGCACTTTTACAGTGAATCCTGTGCTTTGAGATGTCCTCCCGACAAGAAAAATGCTATATCAATTGCAAGAATATATATAAATATAATATAATTTCTACCACAGAACTTGGTTGGGAGAGGGATTCTCACGACAGTGAGCATTTGAAAGGTCTTACTTTTCATTATTTATGAGATTTTTTATACAATGTCCGATCACCATCTTCACAAGGATTGCAATGACTTAAAGAGACCCCCACCCACTCCTCCCACACACGCAATCGTTTAAGCAACTTGGGATGGAAACACAGAAAAACAGAAGAAGCAATTTATTGTTCTACCAATTTATTAGATATTAGATCCTTTAAACCAGTGCTCCTCACCATATCCCTTAATACCGCTACTAAAAAGCATGCCAAGCCCCTATAACCACATGAAGGACGCTATATAAATCCAAGTTGTTGTTATTATACTACCCAGGTATTTATCCATCTCTCTTTTAAACATCCTTATTGATTTAATTTCTAAGCTTTCTGGGGTAGCGCATTTCACATTCATTCACCCTCTGTGTGAATAAATATTTTCTGATCATCACATTCCTTACAGAACAGAATTACACCAGACAATAAGGTTCCATTCCAGTGTATTACGATGGTTGTGTCAAGATAGTTGTGTTTTATAGTTTGATGTTTCTACCTCTGTTCTCCTTTGCCTCCACCCACTCAATTTTCTCGGCTCCTCTCCTAAAGGGATGACTCATACAGGGGGAGTGTCATGCATTCTGGCTTGAACAGCTTTAATTGTGCACTGGTGTTTTTATATAATAATCCTTGCATTTGATATAGTACCTTATCACATCTTCGAGAGTCTCAAAGCGCTTCACAGAATATACTGTGAAGTGAATTGTATAGTTTGTGGGTGAAATGCGGCAGCCAATTGAATGACCAATTATTATTTTAATAATAAGTATACAGGATACCAGGCTTTATAAACATGAGCATAGAATACAAAAGTCAGGAAGTTATGATGAACCTTTATAAAACACTGGTTAGGCCTCAGCTACAGTACTGTGCTCAGTTCTGGGTACCACACTTTAGGAAGGATGTCAAGGCATTGGAGAGGGTTTACCAGGATGGTACCAGGAATGAGGGACCTCAGTTATCAGGAGAGGCTAGAGAAGCTAGGATTATTCTCCTTGGAGCAGAGAAGATTAAGAGAGACTTAATAGAAGTTTTCAAAATTATGAGGAGATTCAATAAGGTGAACAAGGAAAAACTACTTCCACTGGCGGGTGGGTCGATAACCCGAGGACACCAATTTAAAATATTTGTTAAAAGAACCAGAAGGGAGGGTTAGGAAAAAAACAGAAACAGAGGTGAGAATTTTTTTTACACAGCGAGTTGTTCGGATCTGGAATGCATTGCCTGAAAGGGTGGTGGAAGCCGATTCAATAACGGCTTTTAAGAGAGAAATAGATACTTATCTGGGGAGGACAAGTTTGCAGTGCTATGGGGAGAGAGCGGGGGATTGGAATTGAATTGGATAGCTCTTTTCAAAGAGCCAGCACAGACATGATGGGCCGAATGGCCTCCTTCTGTGTGGTATAATTCTATGATTCTATTATCCACGGAAAAGTGACTACCAACTGGGGTCCTACTTACTACTCGGTAAACAGAGGAGCGTGGAGTAAGGAAACTTGCCCAACAAGTTTCTAAATTGGTCATTTTCAATCCACGACTGTTTGTGGGACACTGCTGTGCGCAATTGACTGCCGAGTTTCACCCACAAATAAACAGTCAATTCACTTTACAGCATATTCTGTGAAGTGCTTTGAGACGTCTAGAAGACGTGAAAAGCGCTATATCAAGGATTATTATTATTACTAGGATTTCTCCCTGCCCAGGAATCAAACCCAGGTCCTCTTGCTTGCTCTAACCACTAAGCTACAGGTCTCCACGGTATCAGAAAGTTTTCACAATATGTAATCTGACAATCAAACAATTGTCTATATTCTTATCACAAGTAAGTGAGAGTTCTGACCAGAGAATAATTTTTTTTGATGGCTCAGGAAGACTAATATCCTGCAACATTTCCAATAATGTTAATAACTTTTCAGAAAACAACGCTTTTCGAATCCCAGTGTTCATTTCACATTCAATCTTCATGCCTGAAAAAAATCATAGAAATTTTTTAATGATATTCATTATCTTTAAAATAGTATTATTTCATTATGTTCGTATGGTAGGAAATCCCTTCATAAATAAGCAATGAAGCAGTCCTTATTTTTGGGGTTGCCACTTTATAGGATCTTATAAATATTTTTATCATGTGCATTGAAAGACAGTCTGGAAATTATAAAATGAATGAAAAATGATGATTTTTGTATGAACCACCACTTGCTGTCCACTTTGAACTTTTTATAGAAGATGGAATGTTCCTAAGTGTAAATGTGTAAGCATAGAGAAATGACTCCAAGAGCTGAGCTTTTACTCTTGCACTCAGATCAGTTGCGAGAAGCAACATCAATAACATGACAACAATATTCGCTTATATAGCATCTTTCACATAGGATGAACATATCAAAGCACTTTACAAAGACAGAGTGGGAGCCTGAGCTGGGAGAGAGATAAGGGTGGGATAGGGGGGGAAGGGCCAAAGACGCAACAAAGAGATGTGTCTTCAGATGGGTTTATGCAAGTTATTATTATAATGTTAATATAAGACCTGCTCCAGTTGCTTACTAACATTTTGCATCAAACTAAAAGATTAATACCTGTACTTCAAATGATGCTTGTGCAATTCTCTCCCAGACAATGTTGTGACCTGGAACTCTGCCTCATGCATGATGATGATTCAATGCAGAGCTAATTTAGCAGGATTGCTGGAGAATATTGACTTTGAGATATCTTGACCATTTTTACCCCGGTTCAATTTCTCCTGGTCCATTTCTGGTTATTTAATCCAGAACTCTGCGGTTCAAATTCTCTCCCAAATGAGGCTTCACAGCCTCATTATTCCCATCCTTGCCAAGCTCCATTGGCCTCCAGTAG